ACACAGCATGAAAGAAAGTCGCTTAATCTAAAGCAGCAGTCTATGTATAAATCACAAGTCCGGGTCTACTGGTGTCATTTCTTTGCACTTTTACATAAGTGATTTTACTATTACAGCTCAAAGCAAGCTTGGTTTTAAATCATTACTATAGGGCATTTGATGATTTGAGGTATATTTCCCTACAGTTTTTAAAAGAGACTCTTGAAAGAAAACAGCTGGCACTACTTAGAGATATACATTTACTGCTAATATTAGATACCAGTAATTAGTAAAAAAATACTCAGTTGTGTTTATAATAGTCAACATTTAGAATACAACTTACATAACCTCATAATAACTTGAATACCAAACCTGCAAATTCCCCTATTGTAAACTTCCTAGAAAAATTTAATTAAGCTTGAAACACATGTATCAGCCCAAAGAAGAGTTTTTGTGGGAAGAGTTTAAATTTATATAATTCTCATATATTAGTTTACCAGAAACGTAAGAAAAGGGGGTGTGATGTTTTCCTGTGTTTTCACAACTTTGGGGGAGAAGCTGCTGGACCCTGTCAGGCCAGGGAGACCTTTAGGAAGGAACAGAGCAGATGGACATTTGAAACAAATGTTCAGTGGAAAAGTTATAAATTGTGACAGAAAGTTTTGTTTTGTGCACAAAAGTCTATTTTACAGAGATTTTCAAGTGTGTAATTCACATTTTTCAAATATAGAAAAGTATTCAGGTAGGGTCTTTTGCAGTATAATATTCTTCAAATACTATAGGATTTTAGGTATAAAGTTAAGGAGGAAATGTTTTATTATGATAAACTGCCTGTTTTGTTATAGATTTAATATCAATATCAGGTTTTGATGGCTATGATACTATGTAAATTTTTTTAAGATTTAAGATTCCCAATCTAAAGGATGAAGTTGTAGAAAATTAATCAGTTGCTTCTTCTTGTCTATTCGAGTGAAGTTATTCTCTAAAATTGTAGATTTATAAGAAATTTTCAACATGTTTTGAATTTGACAAGTGTAAAACTATGTTAGAAATTCACAAAATTTTCACAAAAATTCACAAAATCCTAAGAAACCAAATTTACTGATCAAGGAGGAAATCTTTCCTTAAGTAAGTTAGTAATTAGCATCAGAAAGGCTCATAGTTCATCAATTTGTTTGTAATTTTTGCACCACTACGATTGGCAAGTTAGGGTGGCATAGGTATCCATAAAACATGCTCAGAATCTATAAAAATGCCCTATGCCAGAGAAATCTCAGGGCCCCAGCTGCTTCCTTTTGTCTGCAGTCACACAATGTCAGGAGAAGCGTCCCAAATAGCATCCCCAGCCACCAGCTCTGGGAGCCCTCACTATACACCTGAAAGACAATGTGTCTCTGCAGAGAGGCAAGTGTTCTCATTTTCTTTGCTGAAATCTGAGCTTTTTCTAGGTTCACAGAAGAGGAAGGGAGGGAAAGGAAAGGAGAAAAAATACTTCCTCTTGGCTTTTCATCATTAAAGAAGAAAAAAATATGTTTTTAGTAACCTTATGAATCTGTCTCAGTATTTTCTACATCCATTATGCCATTGAATAAGCAATACAGTTCCACAGTGCATCTCTGAAACTTGGGTCCCAATCCCTTCTTCCTTCAATTCAGAAATTCAGAGGATTTAGACAGGACAGTCAGAATATTGCTTATCACCCCTCCCCCAACCCCATCCCCGTCCCCAACAGGGGCTGGTCAGTACGGTCTGCTGCCCCTTTACTGCTCCTGCACCAGCACAGATGTGCCACCACGTGGGAGAGAGGAAGGTTCAGGGTTATCCTGTGGGAATGGTTAGGTTGCCACCAAGCAGGTTGGAAAGGTTTGTTTCTTCTGAAACAGCATTTCCTTGTCCTTTGTAGGAAAACAAACACATTGTGGATTTTGCAATCCTCGTATCAAATTTAACTTTTTTTATTTCCTCACTTTATGATGTTTCAGTGAAATTGGTTATTGTCCTTATTTGTGGCAAATTCCTATTTGATGTATTGATAGAAATTTTAGTGTTATCTGCAGTAGATCGTTGGAACTCTGCATGTTTTATGAACAGCAAAGGCATTAGAAAAGATGCAGCATCAACCCCCTCTATCAAAAGCACCAAGAGACCACATTTTTGCTGGCAGCACTAATACCCAGATGTTTGGGGGGGAAATCTGATTGATATTAAAAATAAGAAGACTTGGATTTTATTCCCAGTTTAGCAAACCACTGTCTCAGAGCCCTTTTTTTTTATTTCTGTAAGAAATGACCACTGTTTAGGGTAATTTATACATTGGCATTTATCAGGTGCTCTGAACTCTGGGGAGATGGCTGGGTGGGGGGGCCCTGAGAGAGGAAGCTGAGAGTTCTCAGCGCTTTTGTTAGGATTGAGCTTCTCATGTCTCTGTAGATGGAGTGACCAGTTTTCCGCTAGGGCAGCTTTCCGCTGCGGCCACAGAGTTTGGCCAGCTCACTGACAGGACTGGCCACCTCTCAGTTACTCCAGATGTTTACAGACAGCAGAAAGGCAAATAGAACATTTCTACATCGACGTCCTCAGGGAAGGCTTAAGAGCCATGGATCCCTTCCAGAATGTAATGGGCTTGGACGGGCTTCATGCCTTAGTGATTTCTTGTTGTATTTGTCTGTGTAACCTCGCCCTGGGGGAAAGCCTGAGAGCCCACTGCAGGCTCCAGTGAGGAAGTCAAACCTGGGCCTGTCATCAGGGAAATTTGTTTGCCAACAAACTAGTGTTTGGTGGTAAGACAATCCCTTCTTCCTTCAACTCCTTCCTTCCCCAAATAAACAGTAGACGTGATGAGTGTGAGTAAAGCCAAGCTCAAGCTACAGCTTCATTGCCTTTCTCACAGCTTCACCCAGTAAAAGTTCATCCCTAAAGAGTACCTTTTGATGGACACTGAAGGCGCCATCTAGGCACTCACGAATCAGTGACTCCACTCCCGTTTCTCAGAGGAGCAAAATAGGGGAGAAAAAAACACACACAGAAATCCGAGTGTTCGGTGAACTGAATATTTGCTCTAACTATGCCTTAACAGTGTATGAGTAACGATTCCAAACCCTCTTCGGGGTTGAATTTTCCTGATCCTGGAGCTTACCTGTTTAAAACCTCCAGTGACTGACTGGCTGCTGGGTCAGTTTGAATTCTATCATCCTGGCAGTGCAGGGCCTAAAAAACATATGCCTACTCTTTCTTTTATTTAGCTTCATTCCCTCTTATAAACTATCCACTCTGATTGATCTCTTTGGTTCAGATTACATGGCCTCCATGCTCTGCTGTATTCCATCGAGGAGATCCGTGATACTCCTCCCCTTTTCTCCTTGCAGACCCTGCTCCAAAGCCTGTTCCTACCCCAGAGTCCGTGGGGGCTCCTTCTTTCTTCTGAACTTTTAAATTTTGTTTGAATCTACATGATCAAACACTGCTCATATTGTCGGTTACCTTTTGATTCCTACCTCTGGCCTCCCACACTCAATTGTGAGCCCCTTTTAACTGAGGACTTTGGCTCACTGGGGTTTTTGTTTTGTTTGTTTGTTTCTTTGTACCCTTAGCATACCTTCCACAAAGCAGGGGCTCCAGTAATGCCTCCAGCTTGTTGGTTATTAATTGACAAATTCTCGCCTTCCCACTTAGATGATAACAGTGCCAGTACTTGGATTTATTAACTCAATAACAAGTTCAGCTTTTCCTTCTGGGTGCTGTTCAAAGCCAGAATTTGCTAATACCCACTACCACTGTTTCTTAGTCCACCTGAAAAATGCCCTTTCTGGGATCAGCTATAAGGTCACCACCCACCAAACATGTGTTTCTTTGTCACCACATACATGAACTGAAAGCATTGGAATGGTTTTGCCCAGTGCCACTTGGTATCAGAAGGGCAGCTGCTGTTCCATTGCAGCGGGCAACATTCGCAGCCAGGTGGGGACTCAGGAGTGCACGTTCTCCAGTTAGCCATATGGGCACTGGGGGTGGGGGGATGGAGGGGTGGGGTGTTGTCCATATGCCTCAGGAGCTCCCATCTATAACTGTAGCCTGCCTGCCTTCCTTCTTTCCTTCCTTCCTTCCTTTCTTCCTTCCTTCCTTCCTTCTTCCTTCCTTCCTTCCTTCCTTCCTTTGTATTCCCTTATTGAGCTGCTAGCTCACTACTTGTTAGATGTCATTGCCCAAGGTCCCTGTGGGCAGTGTTTGCCTTGTTTGGGGTGAGCAGCATGGAATCTGCTAGACTGTGGTCCAAGGCAGGACTCCACAGGGTGAGCTCTGAGTGGCCTTGGTGGACCAGTATAGGGAAACAGGACCTCCCCAAGTGGGTGCCACTAATTGCCTCTGGAGGTAGAGAGTGGGTGCAAACACCCGGAAATCTGTCCAGATGGGAGCCGAGCATTTGAAGTGCGCTGGTTACAGGAGGAGCGGTTAATGCATTTTCCGTACCTGAGAACACGGGAGTCTGCGGGGAAGAGTTCCTAGTGCCTGACCTCCTCCTCATACCAGATAGTCTACTTCACACTTCCAGAGTAATTTCCATTTCTAAGTTATTTGTCATCTTCCAGGAAACAGGTTCCAACGTGTGGTCAATCCTAGCAAAGAAAACAGTACGTGTGTTAGTGCAGGAGTAACTCTCCTGGAAAAAGCCACCAGGTGGCCCCTCCTCGGAGCCTCAGGAGCCCATGGCAGTGCCCCAAACCTGACAGGCACACTGGTGACCCTTCGTCCAGATTCCAGCTACTCAGGGCCTCGGTCTGGGTGCAGGGTTTGAGAGGGAACCACAGCCATCTGTGAGCTCTGGGCTCTTAGTGTGCCTCTTCCTTGCTAGTAAGTTAGTTAGGAAATAAGGAAATAAATAAAAGGTGAGCACCCCTTCCTCCCTCCACTATTCATTAAAATGGAACCGATGCGGGGTCTCACCGAGAGGCCTGGTGCGGTGGTCACTGGAGGGTGAGTGAGTTCCTCCTCGGCATTCCCTCTGTCTCCGCCCTGTCTTGCAGCAATGAAGTGGTGAGGAGTGACTTGAAGAAGCTGCCGGCGCTTCCCACCCAAGCCCTGAAGGAGCACCCTTCCCTGGCCTACTGGTAAGCTACCCTCTCCCAGCGCCCATGCGTCTTCTCCAGGAGCCAGCCCTGCTTGGGGTGTGTGGGGCTTCCGACCAGAGCCCTCTCCCGGCCATGCAGGGTCACCCCGGACCCCAATTGTATAATAAGTGGCTGGGGTTCCCATGAAACCAGTTTCTGCATTTATTTAAATGACGCAGTATGTGTGACATCTCTCCTTTCCCCATTTTCTTTCATTTAAAAAAAAGAAAATCTAGAGTTTCACGTTGAAAGCTTCCCCTCCTTGGAGATCCTTTCAAGTGCTGCTCGGGTTTCCTTGTGGAATCCCGTCTTTGATGGCAGGATGTGCGGGGGCTTGAGTTGGGGAGGGCTGCAGGTTCTTTCTTCACAGAAGAGCGAGGTTGATTCTTTCATTTCCCCACAATGTTTCGTGTCTCCTGTGTTAGCTGCCATGAAGCATTAAGCCCTAGTTCATCTGTCAGGCCGGAAGTTAGTGATTCTGAGTGAGGCGGGTGTCTGAAAGGTGCCCAGATTGGGGGTTTGCATTTCTGGGTTCTGGGTTGATTTCTGCTGGGCCCCACCGACCCTGACCCTAGAGAAGTACAGTGCGGCTTCCCAATCCTCCTTCTGACTCCTTACCAAAAAGCATCAGAACTGCTTTTATAAAACAAAAGTTAAAATCCCAGAACAAGTCGATCCTGATAAACTATAACGTGGCTCTTATACACACTTCTGTGATGTGCTTGTAAATTTTACGGATTTCTCACAGCTCATCTTGTCTGGGTGCTTTTCCAGTGCCGCGGAGGGAGTGGGGGGGAGGGTGGGAAGGGATTCCTCGGCCTGGCCAGGGTGTTCTTGAAAGACAGTTCTAGATGTGGCTGGAGAGGAAGATGTCCTCCTGACACCCAGGGTACAGCAGGAGTAAATGCCAGGACAGGTCATTCTCCCCCAGAGGCCCCGGGACGGGCAGCTGGGCTGGAACTGAGGGGGCTGCATGGGCTGGCACCTTGATTTCATTCCTCTGAATGCTTTTGCTGCCTTTCTTTCTCCGGTAACATAGACGGATAACTAGTGGCTTTATGTCATTTCAAAGACGGAATCTGTTGCATGTGTCAGCTTCCGAACTTCCAGCCTGGCCATCTGCACCTGTGGACCCCAGCTAATGGGCATCCCTATTCCTGTAACACTATTCCTGGAACACTATTGCCTTCTCTCCAATTCTGTAGGCCCCTGGGCCTTATCTGTTCTCTCCCGCAAGCGGTTTCTTTTTAGGAAACCAGAGGTGAAGGAGCTAGAGACACAAGGGTTTAACAATGTGAGCGGGAACTGCTGGCAGGAACGGTAACGTTGGTGGGTTGTTTGGGAATCAGAGTTGTTTGTAGCCTAATCCGTCCCTCAGATAGCTCCTCATTCATTTGTTTCCAAACATGTTTTACACCCTGTGCTCATTTCAGAGTTATGAACTCCTCTCTTCTTCCAACACAGTTCTCTCCCTGACCCCCTGTGTCTCTGTCAATATTTCTGACACACAGACTCCTTCTTTTCCTTTCTTCTTGTTCACAGGTTCTCTTTGGTCAGCAGGACATCTTCCTCTCCATTCACATCTATAACTGTCTTTCGAGAACACTCCTCCTTCTCCTGTCCCCGTTTAGACGCACAGGCACCCAGCCACCGTTTCAGTGCACCAGAGGATGCAGGGCAGTGGGAGGGACATGCTCTCAGGCTTCACAGTTCAGGTGATAAATAAATAAGCCAGTAGCATGGGCCATCTGGATGATGAATTGCTTAAAAATAACAACAAACAAAAGGGATTCACCCTATTATCATTGGCTGGTTGTAGTTGGCTTTAACATTCCAGCCTACCTATTTCAATTTTTGAAAAGCAGAGACACCAGGAAAAGGATAAATGCTGTTCATACTTGTAGTAAATGTAGACTGGAGACAGAGCCAGCCTCCCAAGTGTGTTAGACGTTTTCCCACTCTGCCTCAGGGTCATTCCTCACCTGCAGGCTTAACGGTGACGCTTTGCAGCTGGAGAGGACCTTCAATCCCGCCTCACATCACAGTCTCAATCATGTTGTCCATAGTTTAGAATTGCCTGATCATTATGAAATGAAGGATATACATTTGCTGTTCTTTGGGGCCCACCTGCTCTCTCTGGCCTTCACAGATGCCATGGACAAGCTTGGGCCAAAATAAGCCATAGGGAGCCCCATCCCCCTCATGAGGGGAAGCATCGCCACTCAGAGAGCAGAGCTGTGGGTCTAGAGTCTCAGCCAAGTCCCTGAATCGAGAGGAGCTCCAGTTACTCCTCTGCTGCCTCGATTCCCCACCTGGGAAATGGGATGAACCATACCAGCTTAATGTGACTATACTTGAAGGAGAAAGTAAAATGTTACATAATGCAATTTAGAAAGTAGTGAGAGGTGTATCATATCATAAGTAGCAGTGCAGTAATCTTTCTGCTAGTTTTCCCCATGCCGTTAACTTGGACTTCACACTCCATAGGATTCCCCTTCCAGGGAGGCATCTGGGGCATAAAGTTGGGATTATATGCTGAGGATCATAGAACCAATCAGGATCAGGTCCCTGACCCGGATTCTCTCGAGTGCCTAGTTTGTGAATGCTAGCCCACCAACACAGGACAGAGACATCTTCCTTTGCTTCAGAGGCACTGACAATGGCAGGCCTATGGCTCCTCCAAGACAGGGAACCAGGTCTCTATCACCTGATCTGCCTTTGCATCACCTATGTGTCTCCTGGGTCCCTCGTCTGCAGAGGTGCTTTAACCAGGGCCAGGGCACAGCCAGCTCCAGTTCCTTGTCTTTTTTCCCCGCATGAACTGCCTTGTCCTCCAAATAGTGTCCTGCTGTTCTGTTTACTCTGGCTGAAGGGTCTCTGATAATTATTCCCTTGAGTCTCTAGCACCAGTCTGTGGTAGTTGGGACACTGCAAAGCCCTTGGGCCATATCTGTCTTTTGGAGAAGGGGCCAGAGCAGGGCCCGAGGCAGGATGTATTCCTGGTCAGCTGTATGGCACATGGGGACCACAGTGTTTCAACTGGGGCAAAAGGAATGGGGAAGAGGAGGAGGGGGAGGGGCGATACTGTGGCCTCACAGACGGTCTCAGACAGGAGGCAAGGTGACGGGGGAGGGCCCTGCAGCTGTCATGCACTTTGAGAACCCATGGCCAGGCATTCAGTCCATGAGCAGCAGAATAGCTGCCTGATAATGTTTCTGGCTCAGTGGTGTTTTCCCAGAGCCTCAATTATGTTTGGAGCTGCAGCACTATATGGATTTTTATCTCTAGTTCAGTCGGCTCCTCTCTCTCAGAGCTAAGAGGGAAATAGTCTCATATATACATGGACTTACTTGACCCTGGATCTAGGAGTGGAACCCACAAAATTCCAGATCATGTGGTAGGAAATGTGCCAACGCAGCGTGGATTCAATGGGCAGGTGGGGAGGAATCCAGAGGGCAACCCTGGGACATCCTGAACCTCCTCTGCATATCTGTTAAGGCTGGCATCTACCCAAAGAGGATGCTTCTAGAGAATTCCATCAAGAGAGGGCTTTGTCACACTCCATGCAGAACCTCCATGGTGTATGGGCGCTGAGGAGAAATAGGCTTCATTTTTTAGGACAGAAGGTGCCCAGACACCACAGAAACATCTCTCCAGCTACAGGAAGGACCTTCATAGGAGCCAACCCTGCCCACAGTTCCTGGTGTATATGAAGGTGCTTTCTTGTGAAGAGTCAGACTACTTTACATGCACCAAATTTCAGAACACTAGAATGAAGAGGTTTTTGTAAAGATTGAAATAGTATTCTCTAACTGGTTTGGCACAGTGTATAGAGCGTTGGCCTATGGACTGAAGGGTCCCAGGTTCGAATCCAGTCAAGGGCATATACCTTGGTTGTGGGCACATATCCAGAAGGGAATGTGCAGGAGACAGCTGATCGATGATTCTTTCTCATCGATGTTTCTAACCCTCTCCCTTACTCTCTGTAAAAAAATCAATAAAATATATTTTATTTTATTTTTTAAAATATATTTTATTGATTTTCCACAGAGAGGAAGAGAGAGAGACAGAGAGCCAAAAACATCGATGAGAAACATCGATCAGCTGCCTCCTGCACACCTCCCACTGGGGATGTGCCCGCAACCAAGGCACATGCCCCTGACTAGAATCAAACCCAGAACCTTTCAGTCCGCAAGCTGACTCTCCATCCACCGAGCCAAACTGGCCTCGGCAATAAAATATATTTTTAAAAACAGTATCTGGAAGGTAAATAAATTACTCCGAAGTAGAAGGTAAGGAACATATAGAACATGTTATCCCTGAAATGGTCTAGCTGGAAAAGAAGAGGTGAAAAAGCCTTCAGATCAGTTCTGGAAACATTAATAGTAGATAATAAAGATCCACCGCTGAGGTCTTGAAGGTCCATTTCTAGTCTGTCATAAGGTTTTAAGACTGTATGCCAGGTCACAAGGCCCAAGGTTTTGTACCTGACTCCTTAGCAGGTGGAATGCGCTTCCCCTGAGACTCCCAAGGTTAACTCTGTGCTTCTAAAGGCGACAGTGGGAGCAGCCAAAGCTCCCACCTGGCTGGGCCCAGAGACACTTATCAGAGAGGCCCCTCCAGCCCTCTGCTCTGTCAGAAAAATGTTTGGCTAGCCATTACCACCCAAGGCAAGAGCTGATCTCTTCTTGTTTGGAAATTAAGAGTTCAGGAGACAAAAAGGGAGTTCCTTCTGAGCCTTTCATCACGGCCTCATGCTTTGTGTTAACTAGGCCCTAATTCCAAAACTTCCCCCCTCCACTTTGACATCTGATGCAAGGGGGGTAGGTGTGGATGTTCTGGTGAGGTTCTGGTGTTCTGCCCTCCCCTGAGAGGCCCTGGGTAGACAGGATTCGGAAGTGAGAAGGAGGCCTCAGGGAGTTCAGCCAGAGCATCCACTCTGATGTCCAGCCAGTCAGTCCTCTTCCAGTCCCCTGTCCCTTGTCCCCTGCCCTTTCCAACTGAGATGCTTGTTCTCCACTTTTTCCTCTTCTCTTATGGAATCATAGAGAAGGAACTTGCAAGGAACTGACCCCAAATCTGAGCTCTTATCTTAATTCTGTGACGATAAGTCCAAGATAAAGACAGCAGAATCCTCTGAGAAAGAAATGGAGTTTTTAAATAGGTTTGGAAATGCCACTTTAGGACAAATCCTTTTTCCAGGAGCTGTTGGCTCCTTGGAGCTTCTCAGGAGCTTCTTAGGCTGAGAAGAAGCATCTCCATTAGGCAGGTGCTCAGCTATTGACTCAGTGAGTGTGGTAACAGAACCCTTTTCTTATATTTTCAGTGAGGACCGAGTGATTGAGCACTACAAGAAACTGAATGGCCAGACCAGAGGTCAAGCAATTGTGAAGTAAGTGCTCCCCAGTGCTCCTGAGATTGTGTATGTCAGGGTGTTCAGTTCTTCTCAGAAAGCCATATCTCTGGGGCTGGGGGGGGTGGGGGGAGTAATTCAAGTTAATTTCCAAGTAAATAATCACTCCAAGAACTTTATCTCTCTCTCTCTCTCTCTCTCTCTCTCTCTCTCCCTCCCCCCCTCTCTCTCTCCCCCCCCCCTCTCTCCCTCTCTCTCACACACACACACACACACACACACACACACACACGTACATGATAGCAATTCTGCCAAATAACCACCCTGTATGTGTGTTTTGTCTTCCCAGCTACATGAGTATCGTGGAGTCTCTCCCAACCTATGGGGTTCACTATTATGCAGTGAAGGTAAGTGAATTCATTTGCTGATGGTTGTTAAGCCTGTCCTAACTTTTTTTTTTTTTTCCTAATTCTCATTTAAAAATATTTCTTGAAGATTTTTGGGGGGCATGGGGGTTGGGGAGGACTTAGTCAGGAATATTGCATCTTCAGAAGGATTAGAGCAACTTTTCCCCAGGGTAGTAGGACTGGTTTCAGTTACTCTCCAACACTCAGCTTGGTTTTTGAAAAGTGGGTATGACAGGTCCCTAACTCCTTTCATTCTCAGAAGGACCCTGAAAGATCAAGGCCTCAGAGCCTCTAAGTAGGAAGATTCCATCTAAATACATGGAACTGCAGAGAACAGAAACATTAAGCAGAATCAAAATGGTTTTTTTTTTTTGGTGTTCAAACACCATACAGACAACTTGAGAGGTGGACTGGGGTTGTTGGCTGACAAATGGAATGAAGGATAATACTGTGATGGCAAGTTGGACCCCATTCTAAATTCTCTTTAACTTTATTCATAATATCCCATATTGGGACCTCTTCTTTGAAATAATAGATAATGGGCTACCCATGTGTTCTATGATGAGAAAAAAGAGCAGAAAACACTTCTGAATTCAGATACTTTCACCAGACAACCTGAGATTCTCTTGCTCTTCTACCAGTTTCTTTTTTCTTGTTTCTGCCCTACTGTATTTTTAACTTCTGTAGAGTATGATAGAACATTTACCATGTTTTACTCATCTTTGTGTCACCTGGGCAGCTTGCACACTTTGCAAGTCTTTTGTATGCGTTTAAGTACCTATATCGTCCAGTAAACTGCAGGCATTGGATGGCAAACACTGTGCTGTATTTGGTTATATTGTCTTGGAACCCAGTGTAGTGCCTGGCACATAGATTTACTGAGTGTTTATTGAAAGCTGAATTGAGTAGTTGGATGTGTACATTTTCATCATGGGAACAGATGTTGGAACACTCTTTGTGGAGCTGAGTTCTGAGGCATATGCAGGAACTCTAATCCCACCCAGTAGCCCAGCACAGGGTCTCTTAAAGCCTGCAAGGGTTAAGTTCTTCCTGATGTCCTACCATATTTCTTCCTACCAATGGAAGCTCCTTTTTTTTTTTTTTTTTAATTCTCACCTGAGAGTGTGCTTCCATGGTTTTCTAGGAAGAAGAAAGGGGTGGGGGGAGGGGAGAGAAGCATCAACCAATTGCCTCCCACACCCTTCCAACTGGGGATTGAACCCACAATCTAGGTTGTGCTTCCACCAGGATTTGAACCTGTGACTTCTGGTGTATAGGGCAATGCTTCAACCAACTCAGTTCCCCAGCCAGGGCCCAATGTAAGCTCTTAATCCCTCTTCATCTCAGTCACAGAACTCATAGAACCATCACAACCATCCCTGCCCTTCTCAAGCCTAAACTGTAACGTGTCATGAGGAAAGTGGTGTAACATTTTGAGCTGTCTCTAATCCCAAAATAAAGGTGAATTCTCTATGGGGAGATTACCTCATGTAAGGCCGTGCACTGGAATGTGGCCATTGAAGTCAGTGGCAGTCAATTGGGTTTTATATAAAAAGCGACTCAAAATCCATTGTGCTGGCTGAGCCCATTTCCACTTTGTTACCATAAAGGAAACATACGGATCCAGCAATAGTTCCTGACATACAGGAGGCATTTCACAGAAATACTGACGTTCTCTGTTGTGGAAATAGTCTTTGGGGATAGGTAGCCAGGAGGCTGCTTTCAAGAATAGGAACCAGAAACTCAGGAATTCCTGGACCACATTCTCTTTTTGTTCTTAGTTTGATCTCATCTCCATCACTTATAATTAAAATAGAGATTAAGACATTTGTTTCTCTAACTACCCCCACAAAAATCTTCTAGATATTGAAAGACTATAGAGACATACTGTTAATGAAGATGGATTGAAACGGGTAGATTGGAAGTCTTTGAGATAAGGCTTCACCTAGTCTTTTACTTCTTACACCCATCCATGTTCCATTTCTTCGTCAGCCCTAGAGTGTGACCAAAAGGTGGCCTCTAACAGCTATGATTTCTGCCTTCCAATAAAACTTCAGAAATGTGCTCGCTCCTTTGCAGTGTTAAAAACCAGAAGCAGGCCATGTGACTTTCACAGTGCCAAATGCACCTGTGGGTTTGGATTTTGGAATCTCTAGGCGTAAGCAAATGCTCTCCTGCTTTCTTGGAAAATGAACACAGGAATCCAACAAGCCTAAACCACTGTATCAAGACTCCCTGTTTGCTGGCCTTGTGATTTTGCAGATGCCATATTCCATGGTGTGATGACAACACTTCCCTAGTCAACCTAGCGTTGCCCTGAAACGTTTCAAAAAATTCAAAATATATTTATTTTGCCCTTTATCTTTGTGCTCAACTTGTATTCGCCTCACAAATATTTGGTATTTGAAAACCATGGAGCCAATTTTGAGTTTCAAGACATTTACAATGGGGTGTATTAAGTGACTCATCAACATGGCGAAAGGCAGCTTAATAGGCCCCCTGTCAGCTTCCAGCATTTGGGAGCTTGAATTAACAGCTCAGTCATCCTACTTGAATATACAATTACAGCTTACAGTCTGGTGCCAAGAGGTCTCTGTTAAAGGAATAAACAGAGGGAATTGGTGTTTCTAATTCAGTCCTCAGAATGTCTAGGCTTCAGTTTTGCTGCTTTGCCCAACAGCATGAGTCACACAATCCTGCAGGCACGCTGCTGTCCTCTTAGGCTGAGCAGGGCTGCATAGAGAGCACCTGCTCGCTCCACCCTTGCCCTCCTGGGAGTAGGGGAGTGGACTAGTAGAGCAGGACTGACCGTTTGCTTTAGTTTATTTGTCTTTAAAGTTAGAGGAGTCTTAAACACAAGTTACTAAGTGAAAGAACCTCATGTAAAAAGCTACTGTCTGGCCTGGCCAGTGTGGTTCAGTGGTTGAGCATCAACACAGGAAACAAGAGGTTGTCAGAGTGATTCCCGTTAGGGCACATGCCCAGTTGTGAGGTCCATCCCCAGTGGGGGCTGTCCAGGAGGCAGCCGGTTGATGATGTTTCTCTCTCATCAACGTTCTTATCTCTCTATCCCTCTCCCTTCTTCTCTCTAAAAATCAATAAAAACATTTTTTTTTTTAAAAAGCCACTGTATGATTCCAACTCTATGACATTCTGGGAAAGGCAAAACTGGTTGCCAGGAGCTGGGAGGGAGTGGAGGAGTGACGAACAGTGGAGCACAGGTGATTTTTAGGACAGTGAAATACTCTGTGATATTGTAATGGTGGATACGTGTTGGTATGCATTTGTCCAAACCCATGGAATGTACAGCACTTAGAGAGAACCCTAATGTAGTGGCCTTGGGGTGATGTGGAGTGTCATGTAAGAAATGCAGCACTCTGGAGGGATGTTGATAGTGGGGCAGACTGTGCATGTGTGGGGGCAAGAGGTGGACTAGAAATCTCTGTACCTTCCTTTCAATTTTACAGTCACCCTAAAACTGCTCTAAAATTTTAATAAATTATTTCTTGAGGAGTGGTTATCCCTGTCCCCATGGTCCTTTCTAGCTCTGAGCTGATGACACTTTCTCTGTTCAGAAGGCTGTTATATTAGAATGCTCAGCATCTCGGATTTTCCCTTATGGTGCCCAGGACTGAAAGCATAACATCTCAGGAGAACAAAGAATAAGGCATCTGCTACTTACTCATAAAGGGGGAAGAACCATGGCTATGCTGTTGGGTAGGAACTGAGCTGGGTAGGAACCGAGCTGGGTCTCCAGCCAGAGCACTTTCTAGGACACCTGCTCTATCCCTGACCATCATTTGAAGACTGGGCACTACTGCTAAAGTAAAGTGTGGAGAGATGGGCTCTGTTCACATCAAAAATGTTACTTTTCCTTGTCTTGAGATGAACCAGGAGGTCTCCTGTTTGTATTATCTTCTCTGGCCCATACTTACGCATATTCTGTTGGTGTCCCAGGACAAACAGGGGATCCCGTGGTGGCTGGGACTGAGCTACAAAGGAATCTTCCAGTATGACTACCACGACAAAGTGAAGCCACGGAAGGTATGTGCTCCCTCTTGTGAGAGACAGGAACAGCGGAGAAGTGAGTAAAGTATGTATGCCAAGCAGCCTGGGCCTCTGGGCTCACTGCACCCTTGCTACTGTGAGTGTGTGCAAATTACTACACAGAAATCCAGCCTGAGCTCCCTGGGTAAATGTTGTTGTTGTTTTTTTGTTTTTGTTTTTCCGTCAATAATGAAAGTAAGCAGTTATAATTATTTAAGGTGAGACTGACTCAGCTCTCCCTGAGGAAATGGGTGAAAGCACTCTGAGGGATTGTCCTATTGCTTAATTTCTGGGGGTGCTTTGCCTTCTGAAAAGGGGGGACAAGGTCATTCTTGAATCCTGAAACTAATCTGCATTTTCCAAAAGCAGTGTGTGTGTGTGTGTGTGTGTGTGTGTGTGTGTGTGTGTGTGGTAAAGGGAGCTAAAAGAAAAGATTGTGAGTCCCAAAGAGATGAAAAATAAAGAGGCGTGAGAGGCATTTCTGCAAATCCAGTACATATTTTATGGCGTGTCACAAGTGAACAGAAATCTGGGGAAAATCAGGTCATTTGCCAAAAAGAAAGGAAAGCAGAGAGGGATCTGCAAAGTCATTGTAAACACAGAACAGAATGTTTGAAGGGGGCACAGTGCTTGAGTTTTCTCTGTTTTCATTGACACACATTTTTCAGACCAGAACAAATTGAAAAATTATAAGGGAAAAATATCTCTGAGGCAAGAGCTGTCATTCAGATCCTCTGGCAGAAGATCATGGAAAGAGGCCGGTGTATAGTTTAAATCCTGAAATACATATTAAAAGTCTCAAAACCACACTTGCTGTAGGAGAGAGAAAGCAATATTGATCCATTATGTCATTCCAGATTGCTCTCCAGACTTTGTTAGTCACGCCCAGGATTGAAATGCACAGCTGAGCATATCTCACCTATCCTGTTACATCCACTCTCAGCCAGCTCTTTATCATTCATGGGGGAAATGTTCTGTGTTGGGGAGGATTTTCACTCAATTCATCAAACCTCAGTTAAGTTCTAAGAAAAGATCCTGAGCAAATGATGCGAAGGAATTCTGTCTTAGGAACAATTCAGTAAGCACCTGGCTATTCAGAGCATATTATTTTGTAGCTATCTCCCAAAACTCTCTAGTTTGCACTTGGATCCGTAAAACAGGAATTGGAGTCAAACCGGTTTGGCTCAGTGGATAGAGCGTCGGCCTGAGGACTGAAAGGTCCCAGGTTCGATTCCGGTCAAGGGCATGTATAATACATTGGTTGCGGGCACATCCCCAGTAGGGAGTGTGCAGGAGGCAGCTGATCCATGACTCTCTCTCATCAATGTTTCTAGCTCTCTATCCCTCTCCCTTCCTCTCTGTAAAAAAAAAAAAAAAAAAAAAATCAATAAAATATATTTAAAAAACAAAGAAAAACAAACAAACAGGAATTGGACCCTATGTTCTTATTTTCTCTCTCTTTTCCTTGGTCACACTGTCTCTTTCTTCCTGCTCCCCTCTGCCTTTTTCCCATGTAAGTGCCTGTGCTTTTTCTCCTCAAGTTTTCTCTTCACCTCCTCCTTTTCATACTGACAGTCCTCTCTTTTCAACCTGCATGGTGGTTTTTCTGTTTGCAAGAACCAAGAATAAATGCTCACAGATCCTTTACTAAAATGCTGGTTACACTCTATCCAGCTCTTCATTGCCCACATTGGTAGAAGGTCAAGGCCAGTGTGGACACTTCAGTTCCATAGCCGAGTTCATGAAAATCAGCAGTGGAATTCTCTCTCTCTCTCTCTCTCTTTTTCTCAGCATTTTGAAAGACATGTTAACAAGTACCCATATGTTTTCAGTTTAAGTTATTAATATGTTTAAGTTTGCTTTGTTTCTCTAATTGAGGTACTAATGAAGACTGAAGATGTAACAACATAACATGTGATGTATGTAAAAAGCAGGGTATGACACATTCCAAGGCCTCAATAAATTATAACTGATAAATTAAGTGGCTCTTAAGACTCTAAAATAGTTTTCAAGATAAGAAGTAGGAAGTCAGAGGTATGAATAATCAGCCATTGAGTAAGAGCATTTACTCTCATTTGTGGGGATGTAGGGTATGTATGGGAGGGAGGGGGGCAAAAAAAAAATCAATAATATATATATATATATAAAATAATAAATAAACAAAATAAAAAGATTAAAAGAATGAAAAAAAAAAAGAATGAATGTACAATCTGACTGTGAAATTAAGAGCAGGCCTTTGAAAGCCCGTAAGAGGAAGAAACGTCTAGGTTTCATTAGCCCAAGGCATACCTGCCTCTGCTGAGACCTGAGATGAGACTTCAATACCAAACTAGACACTAAACCAGAGCCAAGTTAAGAAGTCACAGCTGCAAGAAGAACCATGCCGGTGCTTGTTCTTCTTACATCAGCATCGTCACCATCACAACAAGGCCATGTAAGGCACCTGTGGGTCCCTGAATCAGTGTGCATGCCCTGGCTCCAGACCTGTAACTATAAAGAGAGGCGTGTGGTGGTAACGACTATCTATGCAGATTCGCGTATAAGGTGCCCAAGGGCTACTTTCAGTGCTTCAGGCCAGTGATGTTTAACCTCAGCTGAAAATCAGAAATCACGTGAAACCTTTTGAATGTATAGATGCCTCCTTCTCCCCCAGTCCCACTTGCCCCCTCTCTGACCTGGCCACTGAATGTTCAGAAAGTCTCTCTGATGGGGAGCTGGCATGGAGCACCACCACCCAGCGTCTGTGCTTCCTTTCCAGACACAACCTCCGGAGGGTCAGCCGGGCTCCGCAGGGTGTGCGGCATAGGAGAGCTGGGACGCTCCAGCCAGCCTCTGTGAAGGATGGCCCTCCAGGCGGTGCCACTCCTCTTCTTCAGGCCAGGCCCCCAGTAAAATGCTCAAGAATCCTGGAGTGGCCCCCAGCTCTGTGCACCTGAAGACCCTTCTGCGGCTGAGGTCCTGCCTTACACTTTGACCCATTTCCTGGGGTTGTCACATGGTGCCACAATCAAGAGCCAGCAATTCAAAGAGAGACGTGGCAGAGGTGGGCCGGCTCCCCGTCCCCTGAGGAACTTGAGGCACCTCTGGTGCCCCTGGCATGCACAGCTCTAGTAGCATCAGGAAGCCGTTAGCACGCCAGGCAGCTGAGCAGCTTCCTGTGAGAGTTGACTCAAGTGGTTCCAGATGGCCCACCAAAAACAAATTTTAAGAATGGGTGGCTAATGGCTGCCAAGAAATGGGCAGGGTAGTAGCTGGTTCCAGGTTCTCTGATTGGGATATAGTTTGCCATTCTGGCCACAGATGCTACCCTAAACTGCTTAATCCTCATTTTGAAGTCCATGGTAGCTATGGGAGAGGTGGAGTCAAATATAGAGTGTCTCACAGGTGGAATGGAGAGAACATTTTCATCCCCTCTCAATCACACAACCTATATGCTACCCGGGCCTTCTAAACAAATGGGTACCCAACCTTGCAGAAGTACAGCCAGCATGCAAGCTGCTGATGTTTGTTAGAATAAAAATAGCCTCTCTGCCATCGGAGCACACTTCGGGAGTAGCCAGACAAGGAGGAACACCCAAATAAGGTGACTTGGCTTCTGTGTACATTTGGTCCTTCAAGGCCAACTTCAGAAGTTTAGAAGTACATATGCAGAAGAATAGCCCTGCAAAAGCTAACCAGTAAATAGGACTTTAAGGAAATTATATTTACTTGCTTCAGAATACTAGCCCTTGCTTGCAAGTAGGAGTTCTTTAAAAAGTTTAGGCACTGCCTAAACCATTTTAGCTCAATGGATAGAGTGTCGGCCTATGGACTGAAAGGTCCCAGGTTCGATTCTGGTCAAGGGCATATACTTTGGTTGCGGGCACATCCCCAGTAGGGGGTGTGCCAGAGGTCGATGTTTCTCTCTCATCGACATTTCTAACTCTCTATCCCTCTCTCTTCCTCTCTGTAAAATATATAATTTTAAAAAATAAATAAATAAAATAAAAAGTTCAGGCAGAACCTCAAACAGTATTTGAGGACAGGTTGCAGAATTTCTTACAAGCTATTCAATATCGTCCCATCTGTCACTAAATCCTTCTATTTCTCTTCATTATCCTGCCATGTTTTCCCTCTCACTCAGCCTGTCTCTATGCTCCTGTGCTTACTGAAATGCTATAAGACTTTGGAACTTCCTTTAGCTTATCTCAGCTCACCTCTGTTCTTTCCCATAGCTATGGTTTGATGGTTTTTATGCACAGTTGTTGAGTGTGGTATTAGAATTCGGGAATGACAGATTCTACATGTCCAAATGCTTGGGTGAGCAGTGGTGAGAGGTGGAAGGAAGGTCACAGTGGTCGAACAGAAACATCTTACAGCTGCGTAGATGATTTTACCCTATTTTCTCCTAGCTGCCAATTTCCATTTCAACATGTGCATGTGTGTAGAATTGGAATGCTGGGTAAGAAGGGTGTCCTTTATTTCACATGTTACAGTATTCTTGGCTTCAGGGAATAATGAAAGTGTCACTAGAAGTGTTTGCATTTACAGCCAAGCAAAAGAGAACCAAGCCAGAAAGAAAAGAAAAAAATGGAAGGGAAGGGGAGGGAAGGCAAGGCAAGGCAAAGGAAGGGGAGGGAAGGGAAATGCCAGGTGTGCAGAGTGGCCACAGTGACGTGCCTTGAATTGGTGCCCATCGCTTTTAGGCAGTGATGCCTGTACAAGCAGGACTTTTCCTTTTTTCTTCCTTAAGAGCATTTGAATGAAAAGTTTGTGATGTATGTTGAAGAGCATTGTTTATTAATTCTTACAGAACCGGGGTCACATGGGGCAGAGATAAGTAAAGTGGACCTGCATTCCTTAGGTCAGAGCCCTAAAAAACTTTGAAAGCTCTCATCTTTAGGCTGATCTTACCCTTCTTAGCACCACCAAGACCAAAGGTGTTGGGAGGTTAGCCTCTCCCACATTTAAGACTCAACTCCCCACCATTTCCAAACTGAGCTGCTTCCTGTCATGTC